CCATGTGCTGGAAGCTCTTGAGAGGAGTACCAGGAGCAGCTTCGACTGCAAAGGCTCCCAGAAACAATCCAGCAGCCCCACTCACATTTCTACTGTCACAGAAGCAGTCAAAACCCCAGTACACTCCTTCAGGCAGACAGAAGGAACTCCTTTTAACTTAATCATGATCCAAACAGCCCAGCAGCCTTCTCTGGATGTGTGGGCCTAGTATAGTCACACAAAAACTGCCAGGCATCTGTCCTATTCCTCGCCAGCTTTAAAAGGACTTGACACTTATTCTCAGTAATTCAGCTTATTGATGCCTGTAGTAGCAGAAGTTTGACCTCACTCATTCACCTTTGGCTATATAGATGCTGGTTTATGTCCTGACTAATCCACTTCTGATGCAGCTACTTAGTAATATCCTGGGAAGGTAGCTCAAGTGCTTGGGCCCTTGTCAACTTAGTAAGAATCCTAGATAAACTCCAAGCTCCTGCTTTAGGCCTAGTCCAGCCCTGGCATCGCAACCATATGATAAATGAAACAATAGAAGGTAGTTACCCCTTCATTTGCCTCTCCTTTTCTTTCTCGTTTACTAACTTTCAAATAAATAAATGAATGTTTAGATATGCATGTGTAAGATACATATTGGGCCTGGCATGGTGGCCTAGTGGCTAAAATCCTCACCTTGCCTGTGCTAGGATCCCATTTGGGATGGGCATCAGTTCTAATCCAGGTGGCCCCACTTCCCATCCAACTCCCTGCTTGTGCCTGGGAAAGCAGTCAAGGATGGCCCAAAACCTTGGTACCCAGAAGAGTTCCTGGCTTCAGATTGGTGCAGCTCGGGGAATGAATCATCAGACGGAAGATCTTCCTCTCTGTCTCTCCTCCTCTCTTAGCATATCTGACTTTGCAATAAAGGTATAGATTATGTGTGTATTTTCGGAAATGCTACAAATGACAAAATATTTAACTTTGTTCCTGAAAGTTATTTCCCTTAGTTGGAAGCTCTTTACTTTGCTCATCAAAGGATAGGTAGCATAAACTATTTATTATTTTTGAGAGTTTTTTATTGGAAAGGCAGATTTACAGAGAGAAGGAGAGATGGAGAGGAAGATTTTCCATCCACAGATTCATTCCTCAAATGGTTGCAAGAGCCAGAGCTAAGCCAATCTGAAGGTAGAAGTCAGCAGCTTCTGCTGAGTCTCTCACATGGAATCAAGGTACCACGCCATCCTCTGCTGCTTTCCAATGCCATAAAGAGGGAGGTGGAAGGGAACTGGAGCAGCCAGGACCCAAACTGATGCCCACATGGGATGCTGGCTCTTGTAGGTGAAGAATTAGCCAATTGAGCCATTGTGCTAGCCACACAAGCTATTTATTTTTAACCAATAAACATTAGAGTGCAAGACTACCAATACCTTATTCCAATGAGTATACTATGTACAATCCACAATTCGATAAGGTTTGCAGTCCATGGAAATGTGCATTTGAAGTGTCACTTTCTACCATTCATTTAATACTACCTTACTTCTTGTTTTTGCGCTGTCAGACTTTGAAAGTGATAATCTTGAGTCGGCCACAAATATTTTTTTAATGTTTTTGTTTTTAAATTAGTAAATACTTAGAACTGATACCTCCTGAAATGTAATAGTTTCATTAAAGAGTGAAATTTGTAAGCCTGAATTATATATTCAATAAGTATTGCAGCACAGAATAAAACTTGTAAAATTAATTATATACTTATATTTGAAATCACAATGAAAATTTTAATATTAAACTTAAAACATGAGAGCAGAGGAAGCAGTATAAACTAACACAAACTATAAAAAAAGGAAATCATTTGTTAATAGATTTTCAATGTAACTGAAAATAAATAGCGGCAAGGAAAACAAAGCAAAACTGATAGAAACCTTTGGAAAGTTTAACTATGAAGAATAAGGCAACACAAAATCAAATAACATTACATTTTAAAGAGATTTTACTGCAGATTCTGTAGAGGTGAAGAACAGGAAAGAATTTCATGAACAATGAAATGGGATCCTAGAGAAGTTGAACACATACATATGACACAGCTAACAATTGCTTTATGGTACAAGCTTGTAGTATAAATTCCAGAAAAGCAAGTGTACACACTCTATTCATGGATATTCAGAATTCAACCTGCTAGGGTAAAAGAAAGAGAGAAAGAGTTCTTTGTGCAAAACATGGTCTCTATCTGGTGATAGCTGCTTTGAGTTGAAGTTGATGTGTCAGTAGAAAGGTAGTTAGTTTCAGGACATTTGTGCCCAGTACTTGTCATGGATACAGGCAAACTTGGTTTCCCTAGAGCTTAAAACTCTGAGAGCAAAGAGTATTGCTGTGGTTGGTGAACATTCTTCCTCAGCATGCAGACAGGTGAAATGATGTAAAACAGGACAACAGCAGCCATCGTGCTGGTGGGGAGTGAGCCAGCTAAGGAGACAATGGAGCACTCTCTACCTGAGGATTGTTCAGAGTTGTAGCTATGAGTGCATTTGTATAAGAAGACAATTTGACTGCTTCCTGTCAAGTTAATTTATCTAGTTTTACTAAATAGGAGATTACTAGTGTATTATGTTCTGGTGTAACAACAAAACTATTCCATGAAACTATTATGAGGGTCATTCTAAAAGTAAACTTTTGAATAAATTATCATATCTCTTTGGGGCTAGGCTTTAAAATTTTTCTCTGAAACACCATATCACATTGTGAAATAGCACTCAAGATTGAATACAATACCCCTTACATTGCAGAAAAATCCTTGAAGCGTGGAATATTCTCCTTTAGTGAGAATTAAAAATGTGGACTAATAAATTTACAACAGAAACATTATTTCTTCAAATAGTCCAATGTTTAACTCCATAATATTGATTTTAAACCCCTTAAATTTAAAGGCTTTGGCATTAGCAGGCTCTTAGTTTTCATCCTTAGCAGATAATATTATAGCCAGAAGTGATTTATGTATTTTCCTTTATTTCTTGGATTTTATGCCAGATGGATAAATATTTACTTTCTAATCTCAAAATTACCTAGAGATAAGTGTAAGTTGCAATTTCCCCACTTTATCTTCTTTCACTTAAATTATTGCTGTAGTTAAGCCATTCTTTTCCTTGTACTTTGTATTTAATAAGCTGTTGTACTATTTGGAATATAGATGACAAATTCAATTCCTCAGCTAGACACAGAAAAATCATATAGCATATAAACTTTTGACAAATGAGGCCATAAAGTTTAAAAATGTTCCTTAAAATAAGAACCTTTTCCCCAAAAGTAGCTTAAGGGAGATGATTTTCATAGTTCTGAAGCTTAGAGCATCACCAGCAAATAAATGAAGCTTGGCAAGTCTACATATGTGTAGATTTTGATAACTTCATTTGTCAGTCTGGAAGGTCTACTAAACAGCAGAGACTGCCAGGCAAATGCTAAATATGATCTTCATTGGAATATTATACTAAAACTGAAGCTTCAAATCGATGATTTCATTAATGATTTTGAAAGTCGCTTCCTTACTTGAGAATTTTTATCTTTAGATTTCAGAAGAGAGTAGCTCAAATTAAGTAAATATTGACCTAGTTTAGTTTAATGTGGACTTAAGAGTTGCTCATACAAGTTGCATATCTCTTATCTGAAATATCTGCACAAAGAAATGCTTCAGATTTCAACTTTTTTTAGTGTTTTTAGAATGTTTGCATATGCATAAGGTGATTCTCAAGGATACAACCAGAGTCTCAACACAAAATCCACTTTTTGTTCCACATACACTTTATACACATCAATCTAAGGTGATATGGTCTTAGTGTACTTGTGTTTTGACGGGACCTGTCATATGAGATCCTGTGTGGAATCTTCCACTCGTGGCATCCTATTGGATGCCAGAAAGATTTTTTTTTTCTTTGTTTATTTTGTAGCATTTCAGATTTTTAATGGAAAGATGCTCTACCCATACAAGCTTTTTTTTAGATGTCCTACTTAAATTAACATGATAATGTTATCTTGTATAACACTACTCAAAACCTGTGTTGAGCTGAATTTGCCCCCACTACCAGCAAGAATAGATCAAATATTCTGTGGCAATAGAGAAGCAAGCTCATGTACTAGACTATTACCAAGTGGATCCACATTGAGAATACCATGGGAAAGCCATTTCTTAATGAGGTATAGATGTTTGGCAGTTAGTGCAAGAGACTAAGGCCCAGTTCTCCAGCACTGCTGTTTCTACAGGTGTGAGAACCTTATTAAATCCTTGCTCTGTCATCAGTACCCCTCCATGAACAGATGGTTTTTAAAGCTACCACATAGTCACTATGTAACTTGCAGTTGTATAACAATACTTGTGAGTAAATCATTGAATTACCCAGGAGAGGAATCAATTCTCCCTGAAAGAAAAAAGTATCATTTGATTTCTTCAAGTTAACTCAACTTCATTTTTTACTACTGGGAAATCACTGAGCTGTAAATCAAAACAATTGATTTCTAGATACAATATTTCAAACTTTAAAAATCAATTAATTTATTTTTCCTTTCACCCACAGGTCTACCCACGGATAGCGCCGGCATTTTGGCACTACCTGCGGGTAGAAGTGAGTAGCGGGTCCTTGAATCCTCCCACTTTTGCTCCTTGCACTCTGCTAGTGTGTTCTGATCTGACGTGCCAATTTTTCTCAGCAACATCTCAGGATGTAGCTATCATTCTGTGTAACCGTGCTCTCACATCACCACCATTCCTTAGTCCCAGGTCAGAAATCTAAATTTCCAACAATGTGAGTCCAGTACACATAAGAATAATCATTTTGCTTACTAAAACTCCAAATCAGGACCAGATCATGTGCTTCACAGTGATAAATGACTAACTACTAAATTAAGGGAAACCATGCTTACATTTCTTGTATTCAGTACCTTCAGTATTCAGACCACAGGTCCTCTGTATGATTTGGGAATACCTCACAGAAATGGTAGGGTCATGCTGCTTTATTTCCTTTCTCCTCTGTTCTGTCCCCTAGGAGCATGAGCAGCTTACCTATTCTTCCACGAGATCCAAGGCCCCCAGTGCCATCATCACTGGTCTCAAGCCAGCCACCACGTACATATTTCATATCCGAGTGAGGACTGCAACAGGATACAGTGGCTACAGTCAGAAGTTTGAATTTGAAACAGGAGATGAAAGTAAGTTTCATGCAAGGACATAAAGTAAGATGTTACTTTAGTACCTTGACCTGAACCAAGTGTCCCACATTTTAGTAGCTTTTTCACTGGGACACTTTTCATGGCAATGTATACGCAGTTGTTTCAGCTAATGTTCTGATTCTGTCTTTAAGCACTTCTGTGAATTGCCTCACTCCATCACAGTTATGATGTGGCCCAAATATTCCTCTTTATCCAGAGTTCATCACTCATGCCGTTAAACAGAGTCTCAGTGGATGATGTTAGCCTGGTTGTTTGCCAATCCTGGCATCACAATATGTATGATAATAATATAAAGTTGAAAAGAGTAAGACTAATTGATTTCAACTATGAGTTCAAAATTGGGAAGCTTTGTGGGTTTATAAACTAAATCAATAAAAACAGTGATCGGAAGGCAAACTTCTGACATATATACACTGTAATTTTAAATACAGGTTTAATGGACACTTTCATTAATCCTATAGATTCAATACACTGAAAACCAAAATGGAACATGAAAAGTGAGATGTTACATTGTCATGTAACACAGACTTTGAAATTTCTTATTCTAAATCCGACTTTACCATGAATTCCTTTTGGCTTTCAAATCTCATTTTAGGGGCAAGTGTGTGGCATAATGGGTTAAAGTGCTGATTGGGATGCCAGCATCCCATGTCAGAGTGCTTTCAGCTTAGTTTCCTGCCAGTTCAGCTAAGAGGAATAGATAGTGACTCAGTGCCTTGGTCCCTGCTGCTGGTGTGGCAGTCCCAGATAGTGCCCATAGCTCATGGCCTCATCCTGATGCAGTCCCACCTATTTTAGGAATTTTGGAGAATAAACCAGTGGATAGGAGAAAGCTCTCTCTGTGTCTCCTTCTCTCTTTCTGCCCTTTAAATAGATAAACATTTTAAATTTTGAAAAATTCCTTCAAAAATAATTTTGTGGATAATAGCTTCTTTTGTATAAATGTCAATGGAAAGTTTCAAATATATCAGTATAATAAAAATGTCTTCCCATGGTTGGTAAACCACTACATCGAGATAATAAAACAAAAAGAAAAAATCTACTATAGTAACTTCTTAAAGGTTAAAATGTACAATTTAGGGAGAACTTATCAATGCCTGTAACGATGTGGATTATTTTGCATGTATTCTGTCATTCAGACCTTACAACACTAGTAACCAAATTTTCTTTTCCTAATATTACTTGTAAGAAATTGAAGAAAAAAAGTCAGTAAGCTTTTCCAAATACATGCATCTTGTTAGAATCTGTGCTAAAATTTGAAACCAATAGCTTTTTCCAAGACTCTGTTCTACTCTATTATTCTGAGTGCTGAGATCTATAATTTTAATTAGTGTGAAGTGTTAGTCATGAGACCATGAAATAAGCCACTGTTTTTCCAGTTTATCACTCCCTTGAAGTGAAGCTACTTGGGTCTCAAGTTCTGTGACAGAAATAATATGTTGTTGTTACATTGCTAGGCAATATCGATTTGCAAGAACTTATTTCTTGTAAATATTTCTAACTAGAACATAGAAACGCTCTGACATATTTAAGTAAGAAGGAACAAGACTTAGGAAGACAAAGTAAAGTAATGATAAAAATAAAAATAACACTTGGGTCCTGGATTTTTAATGTCAGTGACAGTCATTTATAATCTTATTATAGGCTATTCACTGCTCAAACAAGATATTAAATTATTGGGAATAGAGTACAATAACTACAAATCACAAATCCAGAATTAAATCAATATTAAAATAGCCAAAGGACTGCACCTACTGAGCTGGACTGATTATTATTTTTCCTGCCTAATGTCAAGCCCTACCTAGATATAAAGCCAAAATCCAAGGAAAAATTAGGCCAAGAAACAGTTGAGTCATTGCCTTTTTCAGGTGGTGTTCATTGTTGTTACTAGCAAAGCTCAGTAGGTTCTCAGAATAAGCTATGAACAGGGAAGAAATTTTATTTGTAAGGTGCACAAGGGAACATGAAATGAAGAGGAACCAGGAAAGCACCTCCCAGGAGATAGGGTGCCTCCTGAAAGGACAGAGGGAGAGGCACTAAGGTGTTAGGAATTGTCCTGGGTTTTTAAGGATTTCCTGATTCCTCATTTTGTCATTGAACTGAGTAGGGGTCCCTCTGATACCCACCTCTGCCAGCCTGCAGATCTTCTCCGTTGGTAATCTCTGATTAACTTGGAAATGGCTGCACAATGCCTGTGCTGCTCACTTGAAGGTATTATTTCTCTGGCTACCTGGAGACTGACAAATGTTGGACTTTCTGAGAAATGGCAAGTTTCCCTGCTTTAACGAGGTGTCAGATTCTCGGGATTTAAACAATATCCTGTTAGCCAATATTGAGAGTATGTTCAAATATGGGGCAGTGAAATGATTGGCTTCAGGAAAATGGTCTCATAAGCTTACACTCGGACCTGATACAAGATTTAGGGAGCTTGGGCAGTCTAAGTTGCTCTTTCAGAAAAAAAAAATCATGAAACAAAATCCAGATAAGTCTTTCTGTTCATCTGGGCTTTCTACAGAACGTAATCTAACCCCAATCTTAAAAGTCCCTTTTGGTCTAAATATTAGAAATATCATTTGGCCTTAAATCTAAAGTTTAATTGCTCACATTTTCATACCAATACTTTTTTTTCAGATGTTACCAAAACAAAAAGGTATCTCCTTAGTAGAAAGGTTCCATATTCAACAACAATCTAATATAATCTTAATTTGCTCAAGATATAGAACAGTTTAATATGTGTCTTAGTCTGTTTAAAGCCCCAGAGATTAAAATAGTACTGATGAGTGTCACAGTCTTTACATTCCCACAATTTATAGTGCATAGGCTTAGAGGAAAATATTTTAATTAAATACAGGAATGGTGGCAAAAAATGTCATAAAGACATGTGGGAGAGACAGGGCACATAGAAGAAAGTTCATACTTGATACTAAATGGATTCTGGAAGGCATGGAGAGGAGAAGCAATTGGGCCTCTTGTGTGACAGAGGTATAGTCAAGGGACCAAGTTCAGACACTGAGGCAGGGACAGCATGAAAACATGAAACAAGTGATTCCTGTTACTACAATGAGGGGACATGAGCGTAAAATGGTAGAAGAGCAAGATAGTTATATAAAAGCCCACAGATGCTCTTTTGGCCAGGTGAGGGGTGCTGGCCTGCACCCTGGATCTGATTGGAGATCCATTAGAGGATTTGCCCTAGGGATCACATAACTAACAACATGTTCATGACACCAGAATGAACAGGTTGAATGCCTTAATTCTTACAAGACTACACCTTCAACTTTAAAAATTATACATATTTATTTTATTCAAAAGGCCTGAGAGACACAGAAACACAAAGAGCAGAGAATCTCCTGTTTCCTGATTCACTTCATAGATGCAACCAACAGTTTGGGTTGGGCAGAGCAAAGCCAAGCGCAGGGAACTGATTCTAGGTCTCCTACACGGGAGGCAGTCATCTGAGTCATTACTCACTGCTTCCATTGTGTAGGAGAGCTGGAGCCAGGAATGGAGCCAGACCTCAAAGCCAGGCTCTCTGATGTGGGACGCAACCATCAAGGCAGCCTCTTTGCTGCTGAACCAATTGCCTTTTATTATTATTTTTAGAAACTTATGTTAGCTCACCAAAATCTGGCAACTGGTAAGTGGAGAAACAAAATTAGAATCCTAGATCCATCTCATAATGGCAGCAGAAGAAATGAAATCTTTAATCTAAATTTCTAATTGTGAATGACATGAAAGTGACTTTGATCAAAACAAGATATGAGTCTCAAAAATATAAAATCCTGTTTGGGTGGAGAGAATAGGTGTTAAGCCAATTATGAAAAACAATAAGTACATTTTCTTAAAGAAAAATAATTATAAAAATAATTTTGTCTGATTATTTAAATTGCAATTTTTATCCAAGCAAGCTATTCAAATCCAATAGAGAGTTTAAATGAAACATAGGATGGAGAATGAGTGTACATTTACTATAAATTCTTTTTTTTTAATTTCTGAAATCTCTGAAATTTTTCCTAATATATACCTTTTCTTTTACTTTTTAAAAAAATTTCATTCTTCATGATTCAGTTCCATAGTCACAAGAATTTGCTCTTCAACACTCATGTCTACTCCCCAATGCTTTCTCCCATATTGTTACTATAGCATAGTTCTTCAGCAAGTTACAATTCCAACATTCCGCTTTTTAAGTATTTCTTGGCATTGTAGGTTTAGACAATGATAGAAAAGTCCAGCATCCTATTGTCACGAAACAGTTAAGTTTCATTGGGAGTTATCTGTCTATTTGAGAATTAGAGACACATACTGCAATGTATCTTCAATCCAAGTATTCTAGTCTCCATTATAGAGTTCATCTATGAGAATATATGTATTTACATGTTTACCTATATATCTACTTATTTTGAGTTTTGCATGAAGGTTGTGTTATGTCAAACAGAACATAAACTTTTTGCCCTTCTGGGGTTGACTTATTTCACTGAGAACAATAGTTTTAATTGGAACCTTTTGTTGCAATGGTAGAATTTAATTTTTAAAATGTTAAGTAGTATTCCATGGAGTAGATGCATTACAGCTTCTTTATCCATTCCTTTTTGAGAGGCATCTGGATTGTTTCCATGTCTTCACTGTTGTGATTTTGCTACTAAAAATACTAGATTACAAGTTAATTTATCATATGCAGATTTCATTTCCTTTGATATGTTCCCAGAAGTAGGATAGCTGGCTCATAAGATGAATTTTTAGTTGTCTTACTATTCTCCATACTAACTTCCATAATGGCTACTGTAATCTACACTTCCACCAACAGTGGAGTAAACTACCACACCAGATGGTGTTATTGCTAGATTTCCGAATGTAAGCTAGTTTCATTGGAGTTAGGTAGAACCTCAGTATTTTTATTTATTATATTTCCCTGATAGCTAAGGAGCCTAAACATTTTCTCATGTGTCAATTAGGTATTTGAATAAGGTTCTTTTTTTAAT